AGTCGTTTTTTTGCATGGGAGGGGGAGGCAGGCAGGGGAGGGGGGGGGGGCTGGCCGGCGACGCGCACGAGTCACCCCTCGCGCCAGAGTGGCTTTTGCTTGCCAGGCCTCGGGGGGCGCGGCCTGGCAAGTCGGTATTTTGGGCATCGTCCGCAGCCGCTGGCAGGCCGCGCGCCAAGGGTCGGTGTGGCTTCAGACCACTCCTGCCTCTATCCGAATCAGAGTGCAGCTGAGACCCACGCTAAGAAACACCCTGCTTGGCTCCAGTGTGCCTTGGGTTTTTTCGGCTTCGATGGCTTGTCGATCGACAGCGTGACGTTCCCACACCAAAAATCAATGGGCATCCTAGGGTCTGAGGGCTGGTTTTCTTGTGGAAAGTTTCTTGTGGACTGGCCTCCACTAAGTTCAGGGGTTGCCAAGATGGCTGCAGCTGGCCCCGCGTTCCCAGCCCCATCGTCTTGATTAATTGCGCAAGTCGCTGCGAGCATTGCTCCTCACTCCTGGAAGCACCCGCTTGAGAGACGAGCGCTGGGCTTGCCACCTAGGCGAGCGGCCCGGTGAGAAATCCGTCGCCAATTTTTTTTGGTTTGCATGTCAAGGCGACGCAAAAAAGGCAGCCCCAACAGGTTGGAACCGTGGGCGCCTTTGGGGGGATTTTTTGGGCCGTCTCTTTGGGCCTCCTGCAGCCCCTTCGGGGCGGACGGTTCGAATTTTTGGGGCAGGGTTCCCCCTCTTGGGCTCCTTTTGGGGCCGTCTTGGCACCCTCTTGGGCCGTCTTGGGGCCTTTCGGGGCCGTCTTGGGGCGCTCTCGGGGGCCTCTTGGAGGGAGCCCGACCGACGGCCCATTTGGCAGGCCTCTCGCGGCGTCCCCCCGCCCATGTTCGGCATCTCCCTCACACGTTCCGTGGCCCCACAGGGAGCTCCACCGAAGGCCCGAGCGGCAGGGTCCACATTGTGCCCCCGCACATGTTGGCACGCCCCCCATCGCGCAGTTCGTGGCCGCCGATGGGGAGCTCCACCAGCGGCCCCTGACGCTGCGGTCGCATGGCGGCCACCGCTCTATTTCGGCACACCTCTCGCGCGGTCCGTGACCCCACAGGAAGCCGTCGGCCGCCATCGTTGTCGGTCGTCGACGACGTCGTCGTCGCCGCCGTCGTCCTCGACGTCGTCGTCAGTACCCTCGGCGCTTGCAGGCGCGAGAAGGGTGTTAGGGGAGAAGGGCACGGACCCCCCCCCTTACGCCAGGGTGGGGGGGGGGCTGCTTCTGACTTCACCCACCCTGGCCCAAGGTGGAGGGCAGCGGGGGAAGGGGAATGGGAATGGGAACCATGACGTAGTCACACACACACACACACACACACACACACGCACACACGCACACACGCACACACGCACACACGCACAAGCCTGGCCCCTTTGACCACGTAGACGAACAGCGCGACAAAGAACAGGAAGGCGACCAGGGGGGGGCGGAGGCTAGAGGCCCTCACGCAAGTGCTCCCGACCGCGTTCCTGGGGCTGGCCGCCTTCTTTTGTGGCTCATCGGAGCTCCCGGGACGGGGGTCAACACAACCGGGGGTCAGTCAGAGCGCCAGATCCTGCAGGGTCCTGCAGAGACAGGGGCGCACGGACCCGGTCTTGGGTGCAGGGTGCTGCAAGACCCTGCAGGATCTTGCAGGATCTTGCAAGGCCCGACGGACCCGGGTCTGGATCGACCCGGGTCAGCAGATCCCCGAGCTCGTCCCGGAGTCGCTTGTTGATGGCCCCGAGGCCCGACGCGGGCAGGTAAAGGTTCGATTTTGCCCCGCCCCCGCGCCCAGGAGGAGGCATGCTGCGTTGATTCCTGCCGCAGCGCCCGAGGCAAAAGGTCTTGGACGCTGGCCCCTGCCCATCGACAGATGCCTTTCTCGTGCGACGTGCACGGCACCTCGTCGTTCGCCCGCGCGCGCTCGCCCCCCCCCCCGCTCCTCCAGCTGCGGGCGTCCTCCCCCTGACGCTGAGGCTGTGGGCATGCAGGCCGATGTCGACGCTGCCCCCCGCCCTCCTCAAAATTTGCTCGTGTACCATACCCTCCCCGCCCGAGTGAGACTCCACCGCCCGAGGCCGCTTTCAGTATACAGTATACAAAAGCACGCCCCAAGGATGGCATGCTGTATACCAGACCCACGACGAAGACCCTCGCCTGCCCCCCCGGCTTGGGTATAGTGTTATTTTGTACGGGCGAACCCCCCACCCCCCACCCCCCGGAGCGGTCGCGCTCCAGTAGTAGAAATAGGTAAGAACTCCACGACGGACGGAGGACTCCCTGGGGGGGAGAGGGTAGCTGTGCCCCCCAGGGGGCCGGGTAGCTCCGCCCTTCCCCCTCCTCCTCCTTCTCCTCCCCCTCCTCCTCCTCCTCCTCCTCCTCCTCCTCCTCCTCCTCCTCCTCATCATCATCATCATCATCATTATCCTCCTTCTCATCCTCCGGCAGCGCCTTCCTGCCCCATCGTTGCTCATCCTCCACCCTGCTCCGATGTGTGCTCGTCGCCCGTGCCGGCGGGCCCGGCTGCGGCAAGACATAGATTTCCAGCCTGACACACACTCCGACCCCTATGATTAGCAGACCTGCAAGACAACAGTCCCCAGGGGCCCCTCCATCCCGTCCATCCCATCCATCCCTTGTGACCCAGCGGCGCCAAAAAGCTGGAGCCTCGCAAGGAGCCTCGCAACAAAAAGTCACGGCCAGCGCCCTGGACCCTGTCTTTCCGCTGTGCTTTCCGAGACGGATCGATCCGCGAGGCTTTCCGAGTGCCCAGAGGCGCCCAGTTGACGCCGTGTTTTGATTCTCTCGCGAAAGCGGGTTCGATTGTGCCGACATTCTTGCGCAAGCTGCCTGCTCAAGATGGCGCGTGAGCGCCCTCGTCCGATGTGGCGTGCCGTGCTGGCGGCCCGTGCAGACCAACGCGCAAGTTCGCCAAGACCCCCGGAGGCCTGGGCTCGTTCTACGGCATTGGTTTTTGAAGAGCGACGCACGCCCTCGGGATCGGGACGTCGCACGTTTTTCGCTGAGCGTTTTCGCCCCTCGGGGCCATCACAGATCGATCCGATTCAGAAAAAAAACGCACGGCAGAACAATGGGGTCTGGGGCTCAGGTCGCGGTGTCGCGCGATTATGCTCTTCCGGTCGAGGGTTCTGCCGTTGTGCTCGCGCTGGCCAGTCAGACAACAGGTGCTGCCGTATACACAAGACCTGCTCTCAACATGACGAGAGCTGTTGTCTGATGGGACTCGGAGGACAGCAAATCTTAGTCCAGATGCACAATGTTGAGCATGGTACCCCATACGTTCCGTCCCCGTGCGCCAAGACGCTCGCAGCGTCGGATCTCAGGTTGTGGGGTACTTGCAGGGGCTCCTCGCGAGCCGTTCTTGGACGGGCCCCAGGCCCGTGAGATATTCAAGGCGTTCCCCAAGAAGGGCCTCGCTTGCGGGGCTATCGATGGAGTTGCCATCGCTTCCGCGGCGGAAGGCCGGCGGACGGCGGTGGCACTCGACTGTGTTCAACGTTCCCTGGTGGTCCCGTGATGACGCGACAGTGGTTCCCTAATCCCTCGGTCCTGTCTGAAGCGAGACCTCTGACCGAGGTCCTGGCCTGTCCAGGCTGGACGAGGCCAGCCCGCCGCTCATCCCCCTGCCAGCGGAGCCGGGTAAAACGAGGCCGCTCCCGCCGGCGGAAGCTCGGCGGGAGCCGGCGGAAGCAATCGCCGACCTCCCGAGAGATGACCGCATTCTTGGGTTCAGGGTTTCTGGAATCGGCCAGTTGGGCCCCCAGAGGCCGAGCATATTGTCGAGACTTGTCCGTCGTGCTTGTCTCTCACGGCGCGAAGGGCACAGTGGGCCCGGCGCCCTACCCTAACGCCCTCCGCCTGCACCCGACGGCGCCCAGGCCCAGGGCGCCCTCTTCCTCCCCTGCCGGCCGGCCGCCTCAATTCGGCGCCGAGCGAAAGCGAGGGGGGAAAGTGAGAAAGCAAGGAAACGGTATTCATACCGTTACTCCTCCCCCGTTTTCCCCTTTTTGAGCCTCTTGGGAGGCCCTCGTCGCCACCGCTGGATTCGCCTCGAAATCCTGTTCAGAACGCACCCTGGGAAAGGTCCGGGGAGTACCGGTATCGGTACCTTCTCAGAAGGCCGGGGGACTTCTCAAAAGCCCTCGCGCCTTGGCCATGTTTCCGGTGAAAGATTGGACAACTTCTCAAACGGCTGGGGGACTGCCGAGCCTTCTGAGCAGGCCCGCCCCTTCTCACTTCCCCCCCAGGCTCGCCGCCAATCAAGCCAGGCAGCGCCAAGGGGGGTCACCACCCTTGGGGTGTCGCCACCTCCTCGAGAAGACGGAGACCCTGGAACCCCAGAAGCCCCCAGGACTCCTAACGGTGCCCAACCATGCTCAAAACCTTGTCGATCCTCGGCCATCCCTCCACGTCGACCATCGGTTTCCAGGAGGATGTGGTTGCCCTCTTGGCGGCGCCCCGCCCTTGGCGCAGCTCGATCAAGCCCAGACATCGGTGTGACTGCGTTCTATCCGCGGCCCCGAAGCTCGGGACCCCTGCCCGTGGTAGTCCCTCCACCTGGGAAGTCATTCTCGGTTGCGCCAGAGCGTGTTTTTTCCATTGAGCTCAAGCAAGTGATTTTGCATGGGATTTCCCTCCCGCCCCCCCACCCCTCCGCCGCCTTATGAAAACATGCTGGGCCGAAGCGGCGTGCGCGTGAGTTTCGACCTGCATGATGTCCAGAGTTCCTCCATGGCCTGTCCAGGCCCCCCCTCTCCCCCTCTGCGCAAGCCCTCGGAAAGACGGCCTCCCGGGGCCCGCCAGCGGGCCGCCCGGAGGCCGAATTCGAAGAACAACGCGCGGATCGAACACGATCAGATCGTCGGAGATCTGGCATCGAGGGCGGCGGCGGCGGCGCCCAGGCCGGCTCCCCCCCCCCGCTGCGCGCGCGAGAGCCCGAGCGCGCGCGCGCGCGATGGCGGCGCCGGAGCGGACTCCGGATGGCCGTTCCGGCGAGGTCGAGGACGAGGGGCGCCAAGGGGAGGGCGGGGGATGTTCTCGAAAGTTGAACTTCTCCAAGCAGTGTTCGGAAGTTTTTTAGGAGTTTCCGAGGCCCGGTGGGCGCCGGGGGGGGAGCAGTTTTTTTTGGAAGGTGTTCGAGTGTGTGAGAGTGGAGCAAGTTTTCAGAATTGTTGAGGAGTTTTACCCAAGCAGTGCTTGCACTTAGGGATTCTTCTGTTCTAAGGGACTGGCCCTGAATGTTTGTCTGGCGGCTCCGTGCTCGCTGTCGCCGCCCTGTCGCTGCCGTGTCGCCGCCCCGTCGCCGCCTCGTCGCCGCCCGTCGACTGGGCCTGGGTAGCGGTCTGGCGGCTCCGTGCTCGCCGTCGCCGCCTCGCCGCCGCCCCGTCGCCGCCTAGATTGTACAACATCGATTGCCCCAAATAGATCTGTCCCTCCCAAAAGAATATTAGGATCTACCCCCCGGAATTACTGGTACCCTCTTTCGTAGTTCAGTAGACAAATGATTCTGGCCCATCGTATCCCTCTGCAGAAAATGCTATGCACTTACATCCGTTTATCAAAAATCAGCAGTTTCAAATAATCCATGGCAGCAAAAACGGACCGAAGTGCACACGCGCGCGTCGTCGCGCGCGCATGCCGAAAATCGATCAAAGACCGTAGATATTCGTCCCTGCTGAAATCGAGTGTCCCAGATACGATCTTGCATTGCGTCCAAGGCCCCCACTTGGGCCGCTGCCCCTGACTGGAGGAGGAAGAAATACAGTCTGATCGAGGTATAAGATCGAGGTCGGTTCGGGGATGGTACCATCGTGTTCTTCGTGTTTGCTGGATGTTCTTTTGCATCCTGTGGAGAAAACCCTTAGAGATTCATTGTGCTTTGACCGACGGAGGGATGTTGTTCTGACCTAAGTCCGACTGTACGTAAAACATGATTTCCCGGAGGTCCTCGCGATGTCCCCCCCCTGGCCTGGCGCGGCCCCATGCGCGCTCAGCGCGCGCTGGGGACTGGGGTCCAACGCCGATGCCAGACATCTGCGCGGACCTGAAATAGATTTCAGTCGGACCGAGGTATAAGGTCGAGGTCGGCTCGGGGAGGGTACCCCAGTGTTCTTCTTATTTGCTGGATGCTCTTTCGCATCCTGGGGAGGGTACCCTTGGATGTTCTGTGTGGTCTGGCCGACGGAGGGTCTCATGGTCTTGAAGGATGTTCTTCTGCCCTATGGTCTAGGTCCGACTGTATGTTTACGTTCTCCTTCTCAGTGGGAACGGCAGGGGCGGAGGGGAGGCGGCCAGAAGTTCCCCAAACAGTGCTTGCAATTAGGGGATCGCGCTTCTCTTCTAAGTAACTGGTATCGGTTGCGCCACCCCTGGCGTCCCGTTTGGATCCGTCGAGGCCACCCTATTGCACCCCCTCCCCGTTGCATTGCAATCACAATCGCATTGCATTTCTTTGCAATTGCATTGCGCCGCATTGCAATCGCATTGTATCGCGTCGTTTTGCATTGCTTTGCAACCGATTGGCGGTGCAATCGCATTGCTTTGCATGGCCTCTGCAATCGCATTACATATCTGCGTTGCGCAACACTGGTTTGCACGACTCTGCATTGCTTTGTGTTGCTTTGCATTTGATGTGTTCGCATTGCTCTGCATTGCTCGGAATTATTTGCATCGCGTTTCACTGCTTTGCATTGCATCGCGTTGGATTGATGTGCATTGTTTTGCATTGCCTTGCATTGCGTTGCATGGCGTTGCTATGCATTGCATGTCATTGGTTTGCAGTGCGATGCATTGCTTTGCAGTATTTCGCCGTTCTTTGCATTGCTTTGCATTGCATCGTTTTGCAGTGCTTTGGAGTGAAGTGTTTTGCTGTGCTTTGCATTGCTTTGCACAGCGTCGCATTGAATCCAATGCCGCTGCATTGTGTTGCGTTGATTTGCGTTAATTTGCACCATTTTGCATTGCTTTGCAGTGTTTCGCAGAGCTTCGCAGTGGCTTGCGTTGCTTTGCGTTGTTTTTTCATTGCTTTGCGCCATATAGGTTGAACCACCTAACTTGTCTCACCTGGATGGCACCACCCAGATTGCACCGCATTGATCTGAAGAAGCCATTGTTTGTGGCCCACGCTGGCTAATCTTTTCCAGAGTTTTCGGAAGTTGCCAGCGGGTTGGGAGGCCCAGGGTGGTTTCTCCATGAGCTGCGCCTCGCGCGCAGCGTTCTGGGGGCTGCCGGAACCGTCCCGGACGTCCGCCAGAGGGCAGCCTGAGCTGTGGCCCGCAAGCCAGAGAGCGGAAGATTAGGGGTAGGGCTGGACTTCAACGGCGTTTTGGCGCTTTCGTGGGTTGCTTTCGGTTCGACTTCGCTTCGCGGTAGAGGCGGATTGAAGACAAAACGAGGGAGCACGGAAAGAAAGCGAGGTCGCAAAACAAACGAAACAAAAACGAGGGAGAACGAGCAAAACCGAGAACGAAACAACAGCGGCAACGGACAAACACGCGAGCGCAAGACCAACGAAACAAGAACGAGAGAACGAAGCAAAAGACGAGGGAGAACGAACGAAAACGAGGGAGAACGCAGAGAAGCGAGAGCGCCACACGCCGTGTGGCTTCGGCCCTGCGCCAGGGGGCAGCGGGGGCAGCGGCAGCGGGGGGCGGGGCCTCGGCCCAGCAGCGCCCACACCTCGCCGACCGGGGCCTCGGCGTGCCCCGGCCCGCCACGGGGTGCGCTCCGGGGGCCTGCCGGCGCTCTCACCAAGGGCGTCCTCGAGGGCGCGAAGTTACAGTCAAAAGCCCGAATAAGGACGCGCGACTTTGCTCAGGGTACCCTTGCTCTTCCTTGCTCTTCCTTGCTCTTGCGTCCCTGAGGTTTTCGTCGTCCGCCGCCCCAAAAATCCCAACTTCGGCTTCCAAGGGTCTTGCGTCCTTACCGCGCGTCCTTATTAGGGTTTTTGGCTGTATTCGCGCTTCGCGGTTCGGCTCCGATTCCTCCTCATCCATCTCTTCTCCCCTGGGAGGCGGCGCGAGAGCGCGAAGTTATTCGCACTTCGCGCTTGGCGCAGCGCGAAGCGCGAAGCTGGGAGCCCTTGTGGTCTCCCGTCCATAAATTCGGGCGGGTTGCGGAGGTTTCCGCATGTTTCCGGAGTGCTTCCGGAGTCTTCCACATGGCCCAAGCTGTTTCACACGAGCTGCGCCTCGTCACGGGCGTGGCAGAAGTGTCCGGATCGCAGCGGATGGCCGCCGGAGGCGGGAGTTATCACCCGAGAGCCAGCTGGAGGGCACGGGGGCGCGCGTGACGGTGGTCGGCAAAATCCCAGCCGAGCCTTCCTGGCTGACCTGGGCTCGGGAGCCCCCTGGCCGCAAGAGGGTGCGACAAAAGGCGAGGAGGAGGACGAGGAAGGCGATGAAGGCGAGGAGGGCGAGGGCGAGGAGCAGGGGGAGGAGGAGGAGGAGGAGGAGGAGGAGGAGGAGGAGGAGGAGGAGGAGGAGGAGGAGGAGGAGGAGGTCAGGAGGAGAATGAGAAAGGGAGGCGGCCGAGGAGGCGGCCGAACAGGAGGCCCAGGTCTCCCCCCCGTCGCAGGAGGACGAGGACAAGGACGAGGCCGACTCCGACGAGGCCGACGAGGACGAGGCCGACGCCGACGCCGAGGGAGCCGACGCCGAGGAGGCCGAGGCCGAGGAGGCCAATGCCGACAGGGCCGCCGCCGCCGAGGCCGCCGCCCACGAGGACGCCCTCGAGGAGGCCGACGGCTCCCCCGCCCGCGAGGAGGCCGCGGCCCCCGGGCCGCCCCCAGAGGAGCACATCGGCGGCGGCGACGGCGCCCCGGGGGCGCCGGCGGCGAAGAGGAGCCGCAGGGTCGCAGGCAGTGCCGAAGCGTCCCACTCTGCCTGCGGTCGTCGTCGGCGTTCTGGCCTGCCTGCGATCGCCGTCGGCGACGACGTCGTCGTCGCCGAACCGACGACGTCGTCGTCGTTGGTCGTCGTCTCCGACGTCGCCGTGCGACGGCCGCGAGAAGAGGCGCCCGGCCGCCGGCTCGGCCGCTGCAGGGGGAGGGCGCGGCGGCGGCGGAGGGCCAGCCCAACCTCCCCCCCCCCCCGCTCCTTCCCCATCGGACGGTCGTGGGCGGCCAAGATTCGGCGGAACGTAAGGCTCGAGTCGGGGGGTGCCTAACGTGAGCCCCAGAATAGTACAAGGGGGATGCCCCCCACTTCCCGACCTGTCCTCGGGCGGGGAGCAGCATTGTTTCACCCAGGCTTCGGCCCTGGCGCTTCCCTCGTCCAGTTTCGGCCCCGGCACCGTCCCCACTGTTCTTCTCCCGACGTCGTTGGCGATCTTGGGCTGCCGAAGCATTTGTTGACTTCCACCCCCAAGAAGGTTTGTTATTCTTGGGTTCATATTGCGGTCGGGAACTGCTGGATAACCTGCTGTTCCGCTGGTTTCGGCCCACCACGCTGCAGCGCGACACGCTATACTTCCCAGTCCGAAGGCTTCGACGTCCCGAGCCTTTCTGAGCCTCCCGCCCCGCGGAGCGGAGTTCTCCGCTTGCAGGACATAATTAGCGTGTCGCTGGGGCCGCCGCCGCGACACGGCATACACGAGTTCCTGACCGCATGAAACCACCAACTAATGTTCCAATAGCATAATGCGGTTTACACGGGATGTCAGGGAACATCGGTGTTACCTCATAAGAGCACGATTTGTTGTTACAAAATGATCTTGGAATGAAGAAGGTGTTAGCCAGGGTGGGCCCCAACAGGTGAGCTTTCCACAATCTGCGTTGTGCAAAATACGTGGTGCAGTACATGCTGTGCCCTCTGGGTGGTGCAGTCTATGAGGTGCCATTAATCTTTGACCGTCTTGAAGCTGTCCTCTCCACTGCTCGTGCAAACATCCCACCCTCCCACCCGCAACTTGGTCGCAAGACCTCTTAAGACAAGACCGTGACGGCACGTACAACATGACACTTGGCCACGACACCGACGCCGACGACGACAGCGACAACGACGACGACGGCGCCGCCGACACCGACTACGACGACAACGACGACGTCTCCAACGATTTCGACGACAACAACGACGACACCGACGACGACGACGACGACGACGACGACGTCAACGACGCCGACGACGACGACGACGGCGACTACGACGACACCGACGACGTCTCCGACGACTTCGACGACGACAACGACGCCGACGACGAAAACGACGACGACGTCGCCAACGAAGACGACGACGAGGGAGGAGGAAGGACGACGACGGCGACAACGACGACAACGACGACAACGACGAGGGAGGAGGGAGGACGGCGACGACGCGAACGACGAACAAGGAGGAAGGACGGCGGCGCCGACGACGACAACGACGAGGGAGGAGGGAAGACGACGACGACAATGGCGACGACGACGACGGCGACGAAATAGGAGGGACGACGACGAGACGCCGACGGCGGACGACGACGACGACGAGGGAGGAGGAATTTTGGACACACGATTTTGAAATCCTTCCGAAACCGATGGGTTTTGAATGTTTTCGGCATACGCGCGCGACGACGCGCGCGTCTGCACTTCGTCCAATGTTTGCAGAGGATTCTCGCGACGGCACACGCGCAAGGGCGTTCGACAGATTTCGACATGCGCGCGCGCGCGAAGCCCGTTTAATATCATGTTGCGAAAATCTGGAAAAACATATGGTTTCGTAAGATTTCGCAAGAGCTCGCGCGGAAGCTTTTTTAGCAAATCATTGTTGCGAAACCCTGTGCTTTTGTATGTTTTTTGGAAACTCGATTGCGAAATCCTTCCGGCACCGAAGGTTTTTGAAGGATTTCGGCATGCGTGCGCGACGACGCGCGCGTGTGCACTTCGTCCCATTGTTTGCAAGGGATTCGCGAAAAAGTGCTATGTTAGAACAAAACATGCCACCGCATAGCGTTTTTTTTGTACAAGAGAACCTCAGGGGGGGGGAACCCGGCCCCCCGGGGATAGTGAAAATTCATATTGAGGATGGACATGTGGTCCGAACCATGTATGATTTACATACCCGACAGGGGGAGTGATAACGCCTGGGAGGGGGGAGTGTGATTCTATTCTGTTTTTATAAAGGAGAATCTATGTGATGCAAGTCATTTTTACAAACGAGTTGACACATCCCATGCTCTTGCAATCACCCCACCCACCCACCCGCAATTTGGTTTTCAAAACCCATGCGGTGGCGATTGCGATGAGTGCTTAGCGTTGGCTGGTGCATGTCTGCGGCCGCGCCAGTCCAAGCACGCGCGCGCAGCGGCCAGCTAGTTTGGCGCGACCGACGCGGCCGCGGTGGCGCTGACCGCTGGGCACATCCCAGCGGGCACTTCAAAGCGAGTCGGCGACTTGGGCGGGCGCGGTCTCTTGGCAATGCCGACAACGGTAGACACGATGATGATCGTAGCGATGTTGGTCACGATGTTGACAACGACGACGGCGCGGCCAGTGCGGGCGCCGATGTTGATCACGCCGACGACGATGATGGCGTTCTCGCGTAGGTGATAAGCGGTTCGGAAAGAGCTCGACGTGCGCGCGCGGCCGACGCGTGAAAGTGGCCCGTATGGTATTATTTGACACGGATCGTACCAACCCCGGCACGCGCGCATGGTCGTGCGAATGATTCCGACACGCGCGCGGGCGAGGCCTGGTTGGTAGCATGTTATGAACGTGGTGAAAATGTATCGGTTTTCTTGAGAACTCGCAACAGCGCGCTCGCAAGTTGTTTGGGGAAATCCGCGTTGCGAAACCCAGTGTCTTTACTTTTTTTGGACATTCAAGTTTGGCAGCTTTGCGTAACCGACGTTTTTTATATATAATATAAAAGTGATTCCGGCATGCGCGCGCGACGAAGCGCGCGTGTGCATTTCGTCACAGAGTATGTAAGAAGGGGCTCGCTGTAACGAGTGCGCGCGCATAGTTTTTTGGCAGAGGATGGCGAGGGGGGCCGATACCGGCCTGGTTGGGATGGTACGAATTCATATTTTGGACGGACGATGGGGCAGAATCGCATTTAAATTGCACTACGAAGAGGGGTGCCGATAATCCCGGCGGGGGTAGAGTTTGTTTTTCTGTATAAAAAAAAGAATCTACGCGGTGCGTTCTATGTTGCGCAATAGCGTGGCGACGAGACGGCGACGGCGACCACGGAGCCGCCAGACCACAACGCAGGCCCATACGACGGGTGGCTGCGAGGTGTCGACGGGGCGGCGACGGCGAGCATGGCGACGGGGCGTCGACGGCGACCAGGGAGCCGCTGGACCGCCAGACAGGCCCACTTCCGCATGACAAACAAGTAAGAGCTCTTAAGTGCAACCGCTGTTTGGGGACTTCCGCGTTAGGTCTATATGATTGCTGGGGCGGTCGGTCTTGCTCAAGTGGGGGGGGCGCGTGCGTTCGAGTCGGTCGGGGGGTTCCTTGAGATCGTGGTGTTTCAATTTGTTTTTCGAGCCGGGCGTTTTCGTCAGGTTTCGGGCCCCAGGACCCTCACAGGTAAGTCGGGCTCGAAAGATGCAGCAGAAAGATGGGATCTAGGGCTCCAGTCGTGAGTTGCGACGATGCTTTTGTTTTCCGCCGCCGTCGAATTCCAGGGGCGGGCGTTGGAGTCGGCTGGGGCTTTCAGGTGGCATAGCATCTGTTCGGGCCAGCAGAAGGGTTTGACAGGTTTTTCTTTGCACCTACTGGGGGCTTGGGCTCCAGGAGGGGCCCGGTCAGGGGATTGATTTTCAGCGAATTAGGTTTCGTTCCTCTTCTTTCGAATTTGGGATCGATTGCAGATTTGATTTACGAGCATTGTAATTATTTGTTCGTAGACTCGACGGGGAATCCATTTGGGGTCAACGGGTCATGTAGCCGATCCCCTACTTGACTCTTGACCGATCTCCTTGAGGCCCATGCAGCTCAGACCCTGCGGCCGCCTCCAAGGGGGGCGTTCCCAGACGCTCGCGCGCCGTGCAGAAATCACGACGGGCACTTTGCTGTTGTTGCTATGTTCTGCTCTTGCGCGCCTTCGCTGGGCCCTGGCATTGTCAACAAAGACGCGAAGGGGGAGGATTGGTCGAGACCTCTGGAGGTCAACGTTGAACGTTGTGAGGAAAAACACCGCGCCGTACTTGTCCTGCGATTGTCCCGTGGTTGCCTATGGTTGCCACGTGGTTGTTTCGTCTGAAGATACATTGGTAGTGAGACCAGCCGGCAAACATCTTGTAAGGTGGATAGACAGGTTGATAGTGATTCCAATCGGAAGATCGTACATGTGTCCGACAGATCGGGTACTGGGGGTTTTAGTGTTGCTTCTCTGCGGCGCGTTAGGCGCATATGGGCTATTCATCGAGCGTCGGCCTGCAACCAGAAGCTGGCCCCGAGAGCGTGGTCGAGAGCTGTGGGGCCCAAGCGGTGCGAAAGGAAACGACCTTGGGGGTCCTCCTCGCCTCACCTGTTCTGCACGTGTTGGCGTTTGGGGTCCGCTGCCAGGCCCCAGAGCCGTCAACGAACGGCTCGGGATGAGCAGCCCGTTCTCGGGAGCATACATGGTAGTTCGTGGAGTGTGGAAAAGGGAGAGCAGGAGGGCGAGGAGAAGGAGGAGGAGGAGGAGGAGGAGGAGGAGGAGGAGGAGGGTGCGAGGAGGAAAAGCACGAGGAGGAGGAGGACGCGGAGGAGGAGGAGGAGGAGGAGGACGGAGGAGGACGGAGGATGGTGGCGGGGGGGTGCGGGCGAGGGAGATGGGGAGCGTGACCAGAGTCAACGGACTGCCTCCGATTACACGCGCAATCATCTCGGCATCGGCGTGCTTCTTCTATTCTCTGTGAGCAAGCTCCTGCTGTC